TTTTTTTCACTATTTTACCACTTTAACTAGTTGTACAAGTCATAAGAATGTTGTACAAGTCATAAGAATGTATCCAACATGTTTTATAAAAGTTCAATAAGTTATTTAACATGTTTTGGATTGTTCAAGGACTTATTTGTTCCAAAAATTGTTCAATGACTTATTTGTTCCAAAAATTGTCCAAGGAGTTATTTAACATTTTTTGGAATGTCCAAGGACTTATTTGTTCCAAAAATTGTCCAATGACTTATTTAACATATTTTGGAATGTCCAAGGATTTATTTGTTCCAAAAAATTGTCCAATGACTTATTTGTTCCAAAAAATTGTCCAATGACTTATTTAACATGTTTTGGAATGTCCAAGGACTTAATCATTCCAAACAAGAAAGTTCATTGGTTTTTATTGTACTTTTCTCTATTTAATGCATCATGAGTTATTTTTAAGACTCTGTGCATTAAAAATTATTTTTAAAACTTGTGATAAATCTGGTTTATAAGGTAGTATAGATATTTAAAATGTATTTATGTACGACAAATATCATACATTGTGATCATTAACTTTCTAGAAGGTTGAAATCAACCTGGGTGTTGTTAGGTCTATAATCATTTGGTACGTCGCAATTTTTTCAAAAAGGGGACGCAAGAATGGTGTACGACTTGAGTTCGGTGGGGTTGGCGAATGCATATGATGTATATGTGGTGCTTGCGAGTGAGTGTGTGCTCGAGGGGAAGGACGATGCTATGAGGCACATGGGTATATGATCGTTCCTGACATTTTATAGGCCTTGGTTGTATATAAAATTAGAGCCCTTCGATAAGTTCGACAAAAATTCAATAAATGTTTTTCGTTAATAAAAAAAACTGAATACAAAAATTGTTAATAATTTATGAAGTAGATAAATATTATTCTTTTGTATTATAGACAAGAGAGTACTTTAAATTTACGTAATCCTTATTAGGTAATTAACAGCCGAGAGTATAACAAGAAATATGTGTTGTTTTGATTAAAAGAACTCATGTGGAGGAAGTAATCGAGAGAGTCAATGAGAGATCAATGATATAAAAGATTATAAAGGTTTTCTATACAAGTAGACAAACGTAGATCAATAAAAATGTGGAAGAAAATATAATTAGTTGAGATCCAATAAGAACAAATAACGAATAAGACCTATAATCTGGAAAATAAATGAATGGTTGCTTAAGCACTTAATAGAATCTTGTGGAATGTAGTGGAATCCCATTGAAAAATGAAGAAGTCAAACAATTGATGAAATATTTGAATTTCATTTTCCTTCTTTTTTTTTCTCTGTTAAAATAAGATGTTAGAATTAAAAGTTTTATGAAACATGACATATATAAGATATATTCTTGAATACTTTATGACATAAAATGTATTGGTTAATCACAAAATCATGAAAACAAGTCGAATTTCATAAAAACAATAGATCGATTAAAATAACTGATAAATTAATTACGTTTGACAAATTTAGCTGATAAAATAGTTGGCAATGTAAAAGAACAAAAATTGACATGTAAAAAAATACTCAAGTATAAAATTACAAAATGTATTTAAAAACAAGTAATATATTTTATCATATTAAAATAAGTAACAACAAAAATAACAAATTTTCAATTATTTACTCAATAAACATCTCATACGATATTTGTTATAGGGTTAAATGTATGAAATAGCAACATACTTTTATGAATTTTCTTATTATAATATTCTACTTTTGTTTTTCTTTATTACAACAATGTACTTTCAAATTATTTTTTTATTAAGGCATCGTAGTTTAAAAAATGTACTCATAATAGCAATGGTAACTTGTTACCTTTTAAACCGGTTAACCCTTTGACTTTTTTGCTTGTGTGGCTTTAATGAGGTGATGTGGATGACAGGTCATTTTGAAGACTTAACTAAAAGTAAAAATAAAAACATATTTCAATTTTTATTAGTGATTTTCATTTTCCATTGCTATGATCTAAAAACGTTTATTTATTTATATTTTGACTTTTTCTTATTAAGTTGCATACAAATTAAATATTCTAGAGTAAAATATTTCTTAAATAAATATGTAATATTACTTTCGAGATATATTTTGTTTGTAAAAAATGCAACACTTCTTATTTTGTGTTGTTCAAATAAATACATATCTTTTAAAGTTCTCTTTAAAATGTTAATGAAATAAATTGTGATCTACGATTTTTTAAGATTGTTATATTAATAAATAATTCAAAAAAAAATCTAATTAATTTAATATATTTATACGTCAAGTAAAAGTTTTTGAACAAATATAATATATTCTTTAAAAAATAATATTTTCTGGTAAAAAATGAATAATTCTTTTTGTTTTAAAAGCACATATTTTTTAAAAATATTAGCGAGGTAAGTTTTGTTCTACTAGTTTTATTGATATTGGTATATTAATGAATAATTTAGAATATTTTTAAATTCATTTAATATATTTATTAAATAACATGTAAAATATCTAAATATTAAAATTAAAAATACAATGTTTAATAAGAATTAATAGATGCTATAACAAAATAATTTTGAAAGTACAATGATGTAGTAAGAAAATTACATCACTATAGTACATGTGGACAACCTACATAGACAATGAGGTGGTATGAAAATCTGGTATAATAGGTAAATTTAAATCAAAAGATTATCCAATGTTATAATGGGTAAATTGTACAAAGTACAATGTCCTAATAAAAAATAATTTGAAAGTACATTGATGTAATAAAAAAACTGAAAGTACAATACTATAATAAAGAAATTTATAAAAATAAATTGTTATTTTATGATTTTGTCTTTATTATATTATCATGAATTTCTCTCATCCTTATTGTATATATAGCCTTCACATACTACAATGACTAAATTACAAATTTATATGTTATTATAATATAAATT